AGTTGTGTAATTTGGAAATGTTTTCTCCCATTTTGTTGGTTGCCTCTTCACTTTGTTGAGTGTTTCTTTCTCAGTGTAGAAGCTTCTCAGCTTGAAGTAATGCCATTTGTCAATTTTGGCTTTGATTGTGCATCTGGACCCTTTGCCAAGTAATCTTTGCCTATGCCAGTTTCTTGCAGAGTATCCAGTTGTATAAGCTCAAAAATGTGATTTTTTTTTTTGACAGGCAGAGTGGACAGTGAGAGAGAGAGAGAGACAGAGAGAAAGCTCTTCCTTTGCCGTTGGTTCATGCTCCAATGGCTGCAACAGCCGGCGCACTGCGGCCAGCGTACCGCGCCGATCTGAAGGCAGGAGCCAGGTGCTTATCCTGGTCTCCCATGGGGTGCAGGGCCCAAGCACATGTGCCATACTCCACTGCACTCCTGGGCCACAGCAGAGAGCTGGCCTGGAAGAGGGGCAACCAGGACAGAATCTGGCGCCCCGACTGGGACTAGAACCCTGTGTGCTGGCGCCGCAAGGCGGAGGATTAGCCTATTGAGCTGCAGCGCTGGCCAAAAATGTGATAAGCTTGAATTCTGATCCCCAGTACTTCATTTTCTTCTTCAAATGCCCCATATGTGACCAAGAAGGATGTCATTTCCAAAAGTATTCAGAGACCACATTTAACTTGAACAACATTGTTCAAGTTGATTAGTAAGGTTGTCCAGTTTTCTCTGCTGATTAATAGCCTAAATTGGGGCCTCTTCTGAAATGTCAGACTTAGAGAATTGTACTGATTTCAACACATTATAAAAATGGGAAAGCTTTGGAACTAATGTGATCAATAGCCTTTGACAGCAAAGTTACAAAGCAACACTTGACTACTAAGATGTATAAAACCATGTTGTTCTTATTTTCTTTGAATACCATCATGGCCAAAAATTGGTAATAACAGTAAATTTTATTTCAAAAATCATTGAACTATTTCCTAAGTCATAGTCATATTCCTGTGTACAGTGTGCATGTGGTGTAAAATTGTGAACAAGATGGTCCATGTTGTCTGATCTCAAATTTACATCCCCATATTGACAGTTCCTCCAGAGTTTATAATGGGATGCTGAGGGAAAAGAGGTAAAACATCATATACTACCAATGCTTAAAAAATCCAACAGAATCTAAAGAAGAAATAGCTCAGTCAGCTCAAGTGAAAATAGAGTGAGTCCCTGGAGAGAAGCATCAGAGTCAAGAGGGAAAGTTGCAAGGCTGTGGGAAATAAAGTCCTGTGGCTAAACCTTGTAAGGAAATGTAAGGAAAATGTTTCAGAAAGTTTAAGAAAAATTTGGGTTATATTTTTGTACATTTTTATTTATTTTTCCATTTTTATTTGAAAGGCAGAGATTTACGGAGACAGACACAGAGAGATCTTCCATTTACTGGTTCACCCCCTAAATGCCCACAACAGCCAGGGCTGGGCCAGGCCAAAGCCAGGAGGAGCTAGAACATAATCCTGGTCTCTTACAATGAGTTACAGGGACCCAAGTATTTGAGCTATCACCTGCTGCCTCCCAAGAGTACACATTAACAAGAAGCTGGATCAGAACCCGAGTAGCCAGTACTCCAGCCAGGCAGTCTTTTATGGGATGCAGATCCCCCAGTTAACAACTGCTGTGCCAAACACCCACCTGTGCATTATCCTTTAATTTTATTTTCAGTGAACCCTTTAAAGCACCTTCCTATGAGAATTTGAAATTCTGTATTAATATCTTAATTCAGGATATACAGTTATTTCTGAGTTATGTGAATGGTTTGAGATATGTGTTGATCAAATTTTTAGATAATGGTGTATAAAATGTAGCATTGTTAATGAAACATCTTGTCTTCAGAAGATGACATGATGGCAGATGTTAGTGAACATATTAAAGCTTATTAATCCTTAAAACAAAATTCACCAGATTCCTTGACTCCCATTCATTTTTTTTAAGCCCACTGGATCATTTTAATTAGTGAAATGTTAAAATATGAGCAGCAACTGAAGATTCAGTAGTAAGCCAACTTTGCTAACGTGGTCCTTAAGCTCAAGAACAATGGTTATTTCTTTGATCTTTATGAGCATAACCTATCTGATATTATACTTCTTTTTTTTAACTTTTATTTAATGAATATAAATTTCCAAAGTACAGCTTATGGATTACAATGGCTTCCCCCCTATAACGTCCCTCCCACCCGCAACCCTCCCCTTTCCCATTCCCTCTCCCCTTCCATTCACATGAGGATTCATTTTCGATTCTCTTTATATACAGAAGATCAGTTTAGCATACATTAAGTAAAGATTTCAACAGTTTGCTCCCACACAGAAACATAAAGTGAAAAAAAATAGATGATTTTTTAAATGATGATGAAATCAGATCAGACCTATTGTCATGTTTAATCCCAGTGAGAGTCAAGTTGGGAATTGCTAATTTCTTCTTCTTTTTTTTTTTTTTTTAACAGAAGATCAGTTTGGTATACATTAAGTAAAGATTTCAACAGTTTGCACCCCCATAGAAACACAAAGTGAAATATACTGTTTGAGTACTTGTTATAGCATTAAGCCTCAACGTACAGCACATTAAGGACAGAGATCCTACATGAGGAGTAAGTGCACAGTGACTCCTGTTGTTGACTTTACAAATTGACACTCCTGTTTATGGCATCAGTAATCTCCCTATGCACCAGTCATGAGTTTCCAAGGCTTTGGAAGCCCCTTGAGTTCTCCGACTCTTATCTTGTTTAGACAAGGTCATAGTCAAAGTGGAGGTTCTCTCCTCCCTTCAGAGAAAGGTACCTCCTTCTTTGAAGACCTGTTCTTTCCACTGGGATCTCACAGAGATCTTTCATTTAGGGTTTTTTTTGTTTTGTTTTGTTTTGTTTTTTGCCAGAGTGTCTTGGCTTTCCATATACCAAAACTTATGGGACGCAGCAAAAGCAGTGTTAAGAGGAAAGTTTATATCAATAGGTGCCTACATCAAGAAATTGGAAAGGCACCAAATAGATGAGCTTTCAATTTACCTCAAGGATCTAGAAAACCTACAGCAAACCAGACCCAAATCTAGTAGGAGAAGAGAAATAATTAAAATCAGAGAAGAAATCAACAGGATTGAATCCAAAAAAACATTACAAAAAATCAGCCAAACAAGGAGCTGGTTTTTTTTGAAAAAATAAACAAAATTGACACGCCATTGACCCAACTAACTAAAAAAAGAAGAGAAGAGACCCAAATCAATAAAATCAGAGATGAAAAAGGAAAGTAACAACAGACACCACAGAAATAAAAAGAATCATCAGAAATTACTGCAAGGACTTGTATGCCATTCATATTTTATGGTAAAAAATAAGTTTCAAGTCTAATAGATACTAAGCCATTCTCTCAATAACCAAAGAAGAAAGGCCAATTATCCTTTACTGCACTTAGTTGGTGCAGAGTACACAATGCACTAACATTCTACAGTTACCATGGTGGTTCAGTTAGCTTCACCCTGACATTAAATTACCAGGAAAAGTGAAATCAAAAGGATATTATATAGGAAAAAATTAAAAGTGTATTACTTTGGTATTAAAGATAAGGTAGATTAGTGAATGGAGAGAAGGATGACTGAATTGTGAAAAAGAAAATGTAAATCCTATGATCTAAAAATGGTGATATGGATGTTTGAGATTTTTCAACTTTTCTGTGTGTTTGAAAACTTTTATGAAATTGTGAAGATAAAATGAATACTCAAAGAGAATTATAAATCTCACTTCCCAAATCAATAAGCAACTCCATTTTCTGAAATATTCTTTAAAATTAGGAAAATGTTACAGAAACCAAAGCTTTGCATTAAATATCTCAAGTTTGTTTTCTAAGTAAAAGATAAAATGACAGAGATAAGCCACAGTACTTGGAAAAGCCTATTTATACAGGAATACTTCTTTTTGTCTCAGCATTACATGGGTGTGATGCTGTCAGTACTAGAGTGTTCTCAGAACACTGGTGTCACCTGTGGACCCAGGTCTATCTGATGAGACCACAACTCCCAGAGATTTCCAGAGGACCTGCCTAGATTTTTTTTCTTAGATCTACAACACAAGTTCAGCACCATGCATTTACTTGACTAAGATATCAAAATTATATAAAACCAACCAAATAAATGTTACAATCACTTTCACATCTAATCATGAAAAAGAGTTTTCTGTATGTTTTTCTATTATTGGTCCACAGTTTTAAATATTCTTTCCTCTTAAAGTCAGATGAGCATTTTCGGTGAGTCTGGAAAAGTCCTTCTTGGCATAGAACTGATGAGTTTAGGAGCACTGCTTTTCCCATCCATGGTAAATTTCATTTCATTGTCAGTTGAGTCGTCGCTCCTCTGAATTACTGGGAGGAATCGACTCACATTCAATACGGGGTCCATTTACCCTGAGTTTTCCATAACCACAAAGCTGCCGATGCCCGGTGCCTTGGCTGCTCCTTTACATCTGAGCAGGCCTGGATCTCAGAAATCCCAGACAGGTTGATACTGATCTTTTAAAAAATGTTATGAACAAAGGAAATATATCTGCCAACTTCCTTTACAAACAGGGCTAAATAACCAGTTGGAAACTTTTCTGAAGGTGTCACATTAAACTTTAATAATACCTGCATTTTTATGGAGCTTTTAACTTTGCAAATTGCTTTCCCATGCATTATCTCATGTTCTATTTCAATGAAACCTTGTCTAGGTTTTAGACCTGAATTACAATGACATGGATATCATAATGTTGATATGGACTCTTCCAAAAATTATTATGACCATTCTGAGCAGAAGTATTGAGCAGGAATCTACTGGCTTCAAGAGCAAAGATTAAAAAGGGTTAACATTTTAATAATCCCTTTAGTTATCTGCTCTATAGCTTGAGATTTATAGAGCTTTCACCACTCTCTTTTAAGGAGAAAGTGATTTCTGTTTTTCTCCCATTCATTCTTCTAATTTCTGATTCGCTTTCTCATTTCAAAAAATCCACAGGTGAGCCCTACCCCTGGGTGCATCCGCGCCCTCATGAAGATGCTGTATTGCCCCTACTGCCGAGGCCTGCCTTCCGTGAGACCCTGCAACAACTACTGTCTCAACGTCATGAAGGGCTGCTTGGCCAACCAGGCTGATCTCGACACAGAGTGGAACCTGTTTATAGGTAAGAGGCATTGAAACAGCTTCGAGGACCAAGGTGTGAGAACAGCACGTGGTCACCATACTTGCTGGGTAGGTTGGAAGTGCTGATGACTTGTAGAGTCTAAGAGGATTGAAAAACAGTTCTCAGCCAATGCTAAAGGTTATTTTATATTTTCCTTCACTTTTATGCTGAAAAATAAGATTTGCATAAGGAAAAATTCTGTTAAAGATCCTAGAAGCCGGCTGCTCTCTGGTACAGATAAAAATAATCTTGTTGCATTCTAGTGAGTTCCTGTAAAGAAAAAGAGAAGTGAGGTAAGAATACTGTTAAAAAATTGTGTTATCGTCTCCTTTTTATTTGCATTACTTCAACGTGGGCATAGCTATGAGTAAACAGCTCCTTCTTTCAGCTTCTGGAACGAAAATAACTCAATATTTTAGCTAAAGCATGCAAAATTCTGCTTCACTCTGCTGCAAGAAGGCATCAAGCACACAGGTGGGAAACAGCCTTCCAGTCTTTAGAAGGCAGGAGGAATGGAGCAGGGAGGGGGCAGGGAAAGGACTATGAAGCACAACTCTGTCCTTGGATTGCAGGAAGCGTCCAGGGGGTTGTGCTGCCCAATGGTATTTCCCAAATAGCTACCCAAGGATAAAAGGACAGATTTTATAGGCAAGCTTCTTCCAGAAAATGCATAGGCCTTGAAAGAGTAAATGTGTTTTCTCCCCCCTCTGTCAAATGGCCTTCAAATAAAAGTACTTTCAATTGCATTTACTGCAATTACAGAGTGACAGGCAGAGAGGCGAAAATAGCAGTGACATTCACTGGCCTCAGAGGGCCTACATCATTTATGCAAACCTCCCAACCAGAGTGCATGAAGCAAGTCTTTTGACATTAAGATCTGGGCAGGATAGGCAAAAGATCCAAGATGTGTTAAAATTCAGAGAGACCGTAACTCACCATGAAAAGAAGTGCTTACATTACAGGCACTAAGTTTTGCCAATAAAACCCTGGCTAGCTGGTTATTTTCCTTATGAAAGCTGAAGAAAACAGGTTTTGGGGTTAAAAAAAAAGATTTTAGAGTGGGCAAGATTCAAATGAAATTCATCTGACAAAATCTCTGGTAATTTCAGAAAGAATAAATTGAAATACAATTCTTTCTCTTAAGGAAGGGCAAAGTATGTTTGTAAGATCTTAGGATGCTTTATTTGAAAATAAGGTGTTTGAAAATTTTAATCATTAAAGGTATACTTCTAACTCCAAATAACATCATGCTTTGGTAAGATATTTGTTCTTTGCTAAGACTTCAGAGGGAGGAATGAATAATAAACTTCTTCTATAAGATTTAGATTGATTTTGATACAGATAAGGTACCCTAAAAATTCTAGCAAAAATGTTCTCTAGTCAGTGACTTGTAGCATATTTTAATATTTTTAAATTAGCTTAAACCTGATAGGATTGCATAGATTCACAGCCATATAGATCACTCCTATGTTTAGGTTGAAATTGCTCTAATTCCTTAGCACAGTTGAAAGTGTCATTAGGCAGCCTATAACTTATTGATAAAAGTGGGCATTTGGATTTTGTTACTTAAAGCAGGACGTGATTAAGAATGGGAATATAAGCTTTTTAATTTGTACATGCAACAGTGACCTCATACTGGCTTTTTTTTTTTTTGCCTCAGTTTTCATTGTGTGCTAACATAAAACAAAGTCTTATACTTGCAATCAGTTGACTTTCTAAGATGCTAATTTGATGCGAAACTGAATGTCTGGAAAATCATTTGATCTAAAAACTAAAATGTAACCCCAGCTTATGTTGGATGAAATTTAATGAAAAGCAAACTGATGGTTAGTCCTACATGGATGTTTCTCTTGTCTTTTCTTTCCCTATCTCATTTTTATTAGTTGGAGAAGTCTACAGGAAAACTGCTTTCTGTTTTCTGTCTCTAGTTTGGGTATGGCATTGAGAAGTGACCACCAACATACACTTCTGGAGCAAAAATATGTTCTTGCTGACACTTGCTTGGGTGTGAAGTGTTAGTTCACAAGTGTATTACATGAATTAGTCAAATCTGCCAACTCCATTTTCCACACAGGCATATCCAAGATGATAGCATTATAGTGCTCATGAATGTAGCCAGAAAGATCAATGAGCAAATCGGTCATCCAACCAAAATTATATATAATAGCCCTCTCTTTGGTAGCACCTGCAGCCCATCACTCCCGGGCTCCTGGCATCTCTTGATCAAACCCTTTATTTCTGTTGCTGTCAATTGCATTTGCCATTCTTGCCTACTATATTGCTACTACATTAATTTCCCAGTTTAGACATTTTATGGATTTCTTTTTTTAATTATCATGCACTCATCTAAAATGTTAACAGCAGTATGCAGTCAACCATAAATAAAAGCAAGAATCAAATTGGTGGCACATTCTCATGATCTTTACAATGGCATGAATTTATTGAAAGTGATTAAAAGCTATTTAGAATTCTGCTGGTGCCTGGATCCTGTCAAAAGAAAGCCCATTCACTTAGAAAGAGGAATGTTTTAAGTGTTCAAATAAAAACCTCAGTGGTATTCCCTCCGCTTCTGAAGTTCTTTAGTTTTTTCCTTCTTCTTCCTTTCAATTTTTCGATAAAAATCAGGAGTGGAGTGGAGTCAGGGTACATTTGCATTGTCCTTCCTTCCTCAAGGAAGTTCAACTCTGTGTCGGGCTCAGCGGCAGTACTCCAAAAATTATTGTCAAGTAATGGGTGCAGGAAAAATTAAGAACTCCACTTTGACGTAAAAAAAAAAAGTTGTTTTTTTTTTTTCTTGAAGTTACTGACAACATTAAAGAAGATGCCACCAGTCCATTTTTAAGATTTTAAAAAGCTTCCTTCCATCACTGGCAGAGCCTTTGCCTACTTTCTAGTAGCATGGGAAATCCCCAGTAGAGAGCACAGCCCGGTTTCCACCTGATATTCTGAAATAAATGGGTGTACTTCCCAGGCCCCTGAGCAAGGCAGAATGAGAAGGAGACCCAGAGCGATTTCTAACATGTACTCGCTCTTAGAAAATATAAGGTAAGAGACAAACCGAATCTGAGGCATTAAGTCTGTGCTTAGGCACTTATCCCAAATGCTGCTATATAGTCACACAAAACTTATTCCACCCTTGCTTCTGAGTGTTGCCTACATGTAAAATGGTTTTCTTGAAAAAGGTTTGTGTTAAGTTAAAATTTCCTAGGGGGAAACAGTTTGTGGGCAGAACTCATTTCAGTAATATCCTGAAGTTATTTGGAGATTTTGGCATGGATAGCACCATGCCAAGATAAGAACTGTTCCCTTAACAAGAGGCTATGTTGCAAATTACACCTGGGTTGTGAACAGAAAAGTCAAGGCTGAACTTCCATGGGTATAGCTCTCGTAAATCTTGCATCTACAGTGCAACTGAAGATGTGTGGGTCCGACATCTGGTGCCTTCTAAGATTTTGTAGACTTTGAGAACGAGAGGGACATTTTACAAAAGAGGTTGCTGGTATGGAAAGGCTTGGTAAAACAGGCAAAGGCAGGAGTTCTGTTACATTCTATACTATTTTTTATCCTGAAAATATTATGGGATCCTTCTTATAGCAAATATAAAAATGAGACCTTAAGACATTTCTTTTGTCCCAATTATACAGCCTAACTTTTTAAGCTATCCCAGTTTGTAAAACCCTAATTGAGTATATTGAGTAAACTAGACACACACATTTTTTGCCTTTAGGCAATTTAATGCACTTAAATTAATTATAACAAATTCTAATAAAGCACAAGGGTGATAGAAGCACAGGATACTAAGTGTCTACTCAGCAGGGGGACTTCACCCAGTGTAAGTAAGTAGGGAAGCCCTTCCTTTGCAAGTATACAATAAAACAGAAAATAAAATGGTGCTGAATTATTGTCAACTATATTTGATGTTGCATAGCACCAACATATCTGTTACACTATCACTCTCAGATATTTCCAAGTCTCCATGATAATTTCAATAGGTCTAAAATGATCTGTCAGTGGTTCTTAATTATCTTTGTTTTTTCCTATGTTGAAGTCTCACCAGCATTGACACTGATTTCAACTGCTAAGATTTGGAGAATTTGTGTCATTTTTTAATCCAAAAAAGGTTGACTTATCTAAGGAATAGATGCCCTGCAATGTGGGGGAAAAGCCAGAAGAGAGACTTGTATTTTTGTTTTAGACTTTGGGCACTCACAGACCAAACTAGTAGTATCACACTTTCTAAGCTTTCTTTTTGCTTTCAAACCAACCAATGATTAAGTCTCAAGACAGCTTAAAGACAGAAAACTGGCATGAGAGTATCAAACAGGAAAGCAAGGTGAGCACTGTTTCTCTGCCAGGTCAAGACACCCTGCAGCGGGCACTATTCACCCTTCATTTCTTGACATGTTTGCTGAGTGTCTGGGGATGGACCTTGCATTGGTTTAAGCAGGGGGATAAAGCAAAGAACTTATGAGATCCCTTCCTTCTGAGAACATTATTCAGTGTAAGCTCCTGGAATGAAATCTATGGAAACAAATAGGCAGAGAAATAAAAGGGAACACAGCAAGAAGTTACTCTTATTTTTTTTGTAAGTGTACTCCTTTAATGGAAGTATGACTAATTCAGTAATTTAAAAATCACATATCCCTGTTGTTAATGGATTCTATGAGTGCAGGGATGGCAGAAACAAATCAGATAATGAGCCTGGTTCTTTCACTGTGACAGCTGCTATCAAGTTGTAAATTAGAGGCAGCCAAAAGGAAGCTGTGTTAGGTCAGTCAAATGACTAGTGTCATGTAATAAATGGCTACTTTGGTGCACAAATGTCTTCTTTAGAGCCTGTAAGAGTTGTTTATCCTCAACGCAATTCGTGTATTCACAACTTTGTGTTTGGGAGAAAATACTGCTAGATGAACCTTATTTGAAATCAGAAAATAAACATTTGTTTCTAGCAAATAAACGTAGGTTTCCTTTTATGAAATATGCAGGACTGGGTGCATTTC